CGCCATGTGGTCACCTCCGGGGCAGGCGGGGATCGAACTCATGGGGAATTGGCTTTAGCTTCTTAGTGCTGTGCTTTAACCAGCTGCGCCACCAGGGAGGGCCAGAGCTACCTTCTTTTATATATCCTTAATTAGGTAAGGAGCTCCTGGAATAATTATTGTCGAATTCTGTACCCTTTGTCCCCTATCATTAGAGCCTTTTTTCATTTTCTTTATTTTTTAATTAAGGTATAATTTACATACAATACAGTCCACCTTGTTAAATGGCTGCATTTTTGACAGGCATACAGCTGTATCTCCACCCATGAACACTACCGAGAGTGTTCCATCACCACTCAAAATTTCTGGGTTCTCTTTTTCATCAGCCTGTACCCCCACTCCCAGTCCTCAGCCATGGTTCCCACTCCTATGCTTTTATTGTTTTGGGGTGGATTTATTCTTAGATGCTTCATTTTAAAATATATAAAATATTTCAAATATTCAAATAACTCTAGAGGAGACACTTAAAAGGATTCATCCTCTCATTACAGGTGAACATTTGCCTTCTTTTTTTTTTTTTCCCTGAGGAAACGTTTCTTCCTGTCTGTTTAAAAAATAAAACATTGTAAACACAGTAGTGATGCTCCCCTCACCACTTCCTCCCTTCCCGTCCAAATTTCATCCAAGGTTTCCGGTTTGTACTAATAACACACGTGTCCTCAACAGCGTGTAGTGCTGTTTGCAGCTTTCTATACTTGGATCCCACTTTATTATCCCTTCAAGATGCAGCTTCGCCATTAGAAGTAGCCATCTTGCAACCCCTTTCATCTGCAATGCTAATGGTGCTCGATAGCTTGCACGTGAGTCTGGGCTGTGGAAAACCCCCAATGTGCCTCCTCATGGAGAAAGTTTGCGGGTAGCGAGCTAAGAGGGAATTATAGGGTGTGTTTCTCCTTCACCCTATATTAGCTAATAATTATTAGCTATGACTAGCTAATAATTCCGTTTTCTAAAGTGATTTTCACCAGTTGAGACGCCCACTAGTGGTGATCAGGAGCAGGTGCTGTCTCTTAAGACCCTCCCCAGCCCCCAAGGTAGCAGCTGCGCTCACCTGATGCGGTGAGTGTAAGATGATGTCAGGTGATGCGCCCCCTGCCGGTGGGGCCGCGCATTTCCCAAGTGCATCGTGACTACGGAGCCCGCTTCCTCACCTCCCGCCTCCTTTCTGTCTATGCTTCTTGGGGTCCTGGTCATGAGATCCAAAGAGATGGTTTTTTCCCGTGAGCTCGGGAGGGACGGCTCCAGAGAAACTCCCTGGTCTCGGGCTACAAATACCTGAGTTCTTTGAAGAGGGGACTGGTGAAGTCAGAGCAATTTCGTGGAGGACGGAGTGATTTGTCCCTCGGGAGAGACCTGGCAGTGTCTGCAGACAGTTTTTTTTTTTTTAATTGATAAAATTACCTTTGGTGAGTATCTGTTTTTTATCAAGCTCTGAGCCAGACTCTTGACATCCATCATCCCTGATTGTCCCAAGAACGCTGACTCCCACGGTGCAGCAGACCGCTCCTGTCTCCCCGCTGCTCCCCTCAGCAGTAGATCTGTCTCTTCTGCTCCCCACTCTGCCTCTGGTGGATGCTCTCACCCCTCCCCCCGCCTCCCTGG